AAAAGAGAGAGAGAGAGAGAGAGATTGAATGAATGAGTGAAAAAAGGGAACGATAGTGAGCGTAGGCGATAATTAGAAAAGGGAGAGAGAGAGAGATTGAGTGAGTGAGCGAAGGCGATAATTAGAAAAGAAAGAGAGAGAGAGAGAGAGAGAGAGAGAGAGAGAGAGAGACTGAGACTGAGACTGAGACTGAATGAGTCAGTGAAAAAAGAGGGAATGAGAGTGAGCGTAGACCATAATTAGAAGAGAGAGAGAGAGAGAGAGAGAGAGAGAGAGAGAGAGAGAGAGACTGAGACTGAATGAGTCAGTGAAAAAAGAGGGAATGAGAGTGAGCGTAGGCGATAATTAGAAGAGAGTGAGAGAGAGAGATACTGAATGAGTGAGTGAAAAAGAGGGAATGAGAGTGAGCGTAGGCCGAAATAAAAAGAGAGGGTGTGAATGAGAGGGAGAGAGAAGAGAAGAGAACTGAGAGCGATTGGCACAGTCTGTCGTTGGGAGTGAGAGAGAGAAAAAGAAAGAGAGATTGTCAGTGAGTGTAGACAAGAATTAGAAAAGAGAGAGGGAGGAAAAGAAAATACACATACTTTTTCCTTTGAAAGTCACTCCATGTAAACCGGAAAATAATGGTTCTTATGACACCTCAGTAGATGCAGCAATTTAACGCCCATGTGCTAACCGGCAATGGCCTATTCTGATTCTTTGGGTTCAGTTTCGTTTTCCCAGGCCCATCGTCTTATCATTCTTTATATGAATGTGTGCTATGACAGCATCAAAGGATGTCTGACAAATGAAAATGAATTGAAATTGAAATCATATTTTAAAATTTCGTCGAAAATGACTAAAATTTCAACGAGCTTTTTTAAAGACAAAGTTAACCGTAGAATCGGTCTATATTCGCTAGACCGAATGAAGAACCGACAGGCGACTTGCGAAATTCTCAATGCCCACGCTCTTATTATGCAACGATCGCCAAGGCACTTTTTATAGTTTTTTGTTTTTCCGTTGAAAAGCTTGCTTTTCTCCAGGGCCGCGGATCCGCGTTTCCACTGTTGAAAGGGCGATTTACTTATTCGCGATTGCCAACTGGCTTCCCACTCTAGGACGACCACACCTTGCCAACAAATAGGCCACCCTCCTACACCTGGCCCACTTGTCTTTTTTTTCTTTTTTTTGTTATTATTATTGTTTACCAATCTCTTCCTAGTATTCCGTGCGAAGGCTATCCGCATAAATGAGTAGTCTCGAAATCCTTTGCCGCTACCTACGGCGTAAATTGTATCATTTATGTATAATTTTTTAACGCTCTGGTTTTATGTTTGTCTCTCCTGACACGGCTGAAGGATAGATTCGTTTTAATCAATTTTAAACCTTTTCCTTTGCAATATCATTCAATATCATACCTTTTCATTCAATATCATTGAAGGAATGAAAACAATGGGGCCTTAGCAAAGCCTGAAAATAAAATTTATTTTTAAAAAAACCTTGACGTAAAAATTTGACAATTTGCGTACAAACGTACAATTGTCGAGGTTGAAACAAAACTGTAGCTAGGATCTATTTTTAAATGGGTGTTCTAGTTTCGTACAAGAACACCTCCCAAGTTACAGAAACGGCGTCATTGCGAAGAGAAAACAAGTCCATTTGAAAAAAAAAAAAATTAGCCCAAACACAAGACCCAATCTATGGAATAAGTCATCTCTACAATTTAAATAGAAATATTATTAATTAAATTAATAATATATTAAAATATTAGCCTATACATATAAAATAATTAAAGTTAATTAAAATAATTAATACTGAATATCTAAACTTTCAACATAACTAGTATGAAAACAATAAAAAGTTGACTTTTTTGGGTTTTGTTGCTTTTCTTCTTCAAACTTGTAAGTATTCGAGTAGAAAAATGCCTGGTCTATTTTTGGATATTAAGAGGAACGATGGAAAAATTAAAAACCAGACAGACCTGTTTGTTGTACAAATTCTAATTTAATAGAATAAAAAATAAATAAATAAATAAAAAATTCAACTCTACGAATATGTATGAATATTTTACGATAAATGTTCCAGAAATCGCCAGAATCCTGTTTAACGAGTTATGCTTATACATGTACTGAACATGTTTTGTTTTTTTACAACAAATTAGAAAAATAAATAAAGATATATAAGAATGCGGAAGTGATTTTGTTTTAATATAAGAAAGGAATATTTGAGCTGAATGTAAAATATTTAAATTTTGTTTATACACTATTGACCAGTCAACGATACCTTAAATGCCAGTATGAAAAGTAAAATAATTTTCCATCTTCCTTTTTTTAGCTTTATTTTCCTTTATGAAATATCAGTTTTGTCTTTTTCTATCCAATCATTGTTTTAATTGAAAAATGAATTTATTATTGAAGCTTTGGTAAGTTATTTTGTCATGTTCTCTAATTTTCCTATAAATTTTTATTAATCGTACACTCATGGTATTTAAAAAAATATGTTTGTGAGCAACAAAAGGATTATTTCGTATCAGTTAACTAATTTGCCGTTTTTAATGTTCCTAGTAAATTTGGTTAAATGTTTCGTAATTGAAAAAAAAGAAGATAAAGAGAAAAATTGCGAGACTATAATGAAAAAACTTATTTTAATTTGTGGCGATTTAGGTTTAAAGAATTTATATCGAATATATTTTCGGCTTTTAATATTCCCCGGAACTTTGTTTAATTGTTCTATAATTTAGAGAGAGTGAGAGGAATAGAAAATTGTGAGGTAATTATTTTCATTTTGTACTTAGATTGACAGGATTTCTATCGAGTATCTGTTAAATTATTTTTTTCTCTTTAAAGTTAGAAGTAACCCTAGTTAATTGTTCCATAATTAAAAATATTAGAGAGAGTAGTGAATGAGAGAGTGAGAGAGAGAGAGAGAAAGAGAGAGAGAGAGAGAGAGAGAGAGAGAGAGAGAGAGAGAAATAGAAATAGAAAATTGTGAGGCAATTATTTTCACTTTGTACTTAGGTTGACAGGATTTCTATCGAGTATCTGTTAAATTAATTTTTACTCTTTAAAGTTAGAATTCCTAATTAATTGTTCCATAATTAAAAATATTAGAGAGAGAGAGAGTGAGAGAGGGAGAAATAGAAAATTGTGAGACTTTTGTGAAAAACTTATTTTCATTTTGGACGATTTAGGTTTAAAGGATTTCTATCGTGAAACTAATTTCCCGCATTTGTTCCAACTAAATTCTTTCAATTGTTTCTTAATTAAAAAAGAAATTTAAAAAAGGGAGACATAGAAAATTGTGAGGCAATTATGAAAACGTATTTCCATTTTGGACGATTTAGGCTTAAGGGATTTCTATCGTTATCAGTTAAACTAATTTTTCCCTTTAATGTTCGAAGTAACCCCGATTAATTGTTCCAAAATTAAAAAAATATTAAAAACAGAGATAGAGGAAGAGGAAATTGTCGGACTTTTGTGAAAAACTTATTTTCATGTTTAACAATTTAGATTTAAAGGATTTCTATCGAGTAACTAACTTTCCGCTTTTGTTCCAACTAACTTCGTTGAAACAACTGTTTCTTAATTAAAAAATAAAATGAAAAAATTGAGAGGCAATTATGAAAAACGAATTTTTATTTTTCGCGATTTAGGTTTGAAGGATTTCTATCGAGTATTGGTTAAACTAATTTTTCTTTTTAATGTTAGAAGTAACCCTGATTAATTGTTCCATAACTAAAAAATATTAAAGAAAAAACGAGAAAGAAAGGGAGGAATAGATAATTGTGAAACTTTTGTTAAAAAGGTATTTTCATTTTTAACTATTTAAGTTTGAAGAATTTGTATCGAGTATCAGTTTAACTTATTTTTCTTGTTAATAATTAATTGTTCTATAATTTAAAAAAAAATTAAAGAGCGAGAGGAATAGAAAACTGTGAGACTTTATTGAAAAACTTCTTTTCATTTTGGACGATTTAAGTTTCAAACGTTTTGTGGAATACACGTAATTTTTAAAACTGAGGTTCTAAAGGGTATTTTCAATAATAAAAGGATTGACGATAAATTATGGATTGTTTAATTGTTATTATTTGGCCTTTTTCTTGGAAGGTTAGAAAAACAGTTCCGATGTACAACTTATCCGCTTCCTGTGTCATTCTCAAGTACAATCTACAAGAAATGAATTTCTTCATTGCAAAAAATGATACAGTTAGTCGTCAATATGTTTGCAACATCCCATTTTTATAGGTTTTTTTTTTTTTTTTTTTTTTTTTTTTTAAGTTTTTAAATTGTCTAATTGTCTTAAATTTTAGCAATAAAGAATTAAAGCGTACGTGAGAATGGCCCAGGATGCCGAAACGTTTCACTTTGGAACAATTTTTTTAAAACACCTTCAAGAAAAAGGCCTAAAAATGTCCCACATTAAACCATTTATAGAACTATCTGTAAAAAATTATTGTAAAGATTATTTTTGAAAATATTAAAAGCTTTTCGTGATATCGATTGATTTGAAAATATGTTGTTTTACAGTTTGTCATATTGATTATCGCCGTTATTTATAGACGTCCGTGATACTTCTTAATACCGTGATCTCTCCCCGAAAGGTGGAACAGGTTGAAAACAACTCTCAAATCTCTCACTCTCTCTCAATTGATGCCCCTTATCTCTCCCCCCCGTTCAAATATGGACCTTTCACTCCGCCCGTTAACGAAATCTGCCTGTAATTCGTAAATAATCTCAGGTCCAGAAATAAAAACCCATCTACCAGGATGAGAGGGGAACGATTAAAATCCAATTACGTTCTGTGTTCCGTGGTCTTTTTCATTTTGGCCTTCCGAGCAGCCGGGTCGAACATCAGTGAATGGGCACGTAGGAAGAACAAAAAAAAACTACATTCATTAATTCTTGGCCTGGAGCGAAAAACAGTAGGGTCTAAATTAGTGCTTCATTCAAAGCCTATTCACGGCTGGCACAAGGAAGGATTTTTTTCTTTAATTTTTATTTATTTAAATAATTCCTTACCCCTGTTTGATAAAGAGTCCTGATATGTTTGCCGATTTTGGCTCCGTAGTGGTGATGGTGGTAATGGTATTCTGGCAGGGTGGCCGTCTGGGATATCAGTTTATGGATGATGTCCTCAGAAGCGTAGTTGATTATCTCATGCTGGAAGACGATGAGCGGTGTCCTGGAAGCCGTTCCAAAATCGAAAAGCCACAGAATCGAAACACAGAGGAACCCCTTGACGCGCATAATTGCTCTTGCTTTGGCAAATTTGTGTATATCTGATCCCTTTGTCCTTGAATTTAATTCACTCCATCCTTTAATCGGATTACACTTGACACTGACCTGACTCCACAGGTTGTGGCGGTTTTGATGAACGGTCCACGTGAGGTGCGAGCGACTGAACCTCTACCACTCCTAGCAGCTAGCATCTTATGAATGAACCCCGATTTCTGTTGGAGGGGGTGACTACGTACAACACCTGGCCCCCATCCCCTCCAAGTGCATTCATTAGTGATCTCCAACGTTTCTTATAACTATTTTATTCTCTCCGTTATCCAAAATAATGGATTACCTGGACTTTTTACCACTATCGGCTTGATTCCACGTCCCCGTGGTTTTTCGACCGGGATGGAAATGGCCTCCGGCGCTCATAACGAGCTCCCGAGTAATAGCTCTGCCTTCATGAATGAGTTTTATGAGCGTTCGTGAATGAATGCCCTACTCCCCGACCCCTTTCTTCGCCCATTCTCGACGAAAAATTAACATAACATTTTTCAGACTCGACGTTTTAGGGTGGGGGGGGGTATTTGACAGAGATTGATAACGCCACAATCTTTTCCTTGTAACAGTGAAAAATCATGTTCGTAAAAAATTTTCAGAAAAAATATTTACAAAAATTGCTATTTAGGGGTTGAAGGAGTTGAACATGTAGGAACTTTTTTTGTAAATATTTATTTTTTTGTAAAAATATTATTTTAAGCTGCAGGTTTAGGCGTTGACACTGCGCTCATCACTGCAAAGGTACACGTAAAAGTTTATCTTCTGATTTTGTACTTTGTTTTTTAAAGATAAAATAAATAAAAATGTATCTCATACGGTTTTTAATGTTTTTTCCATTGATGTAATCAAATTGTCAATATATCGATATTGTCAATTATCAATAAGGGAAATCAAGAACAACTCCTCAAAGGTTTTACTTTTACATCTTCAGTTCTGGATTGTTTACCGAGGCCGGATCTGTGCCATTACACGTAGGTTATAGGGTTGTAAACCGCTGTAAAGTTTCCTTTGGATCAGTGTAGTCATTTCGTAGTTAGTACAATTCTGATTTTTCAACAAAATCCTCGGCATTTTAGAAAGTCGAACAATTCGAGAATAATTCTTCTCTTTTGTTGAACTTGAAAAAAAATTTCTCACCAATTTCTATTCAGGGGTTGAAGGAACTTAAAATATTTTTTAACTATGCCGCTTGTTTTCAAAATAATTATGTTTTACATTTTGAATTTGATCGTCTACCGATGGATTCTTTTCGTGTTTTTGCAAAGCGAATCGACTGATGTACAGGGTGTCCCGTGATTAGAAGTCAACAATTAAGGAGGTTATCAAATTTTGACTAAAAAGATTCTATCGTCCAAAGTCTTAGCAATTGTATTCGAGATATTTTACTTTTCAGGTTACTTCAACCTTTCACAACTTTATTCCATAAAATCCAACGTACCTCCAAAACCGTTAATCCTAATTTAATTTTTATTATATTCTAGGATTATATTAAGCATTAAAAATTAATTTGTTTTTTAGTGTAACTTTAAGCAAACAAAATACAGAATTACTTAGATGATAAACTTTTACCTGTTTCGTAAGTTGTTGACCCAAGTATGAGAGAAATTTTCATGTCACAGACAGATACGGCTATTGAAAGGTCAGTTACCACCAATGTACAATCTATTCTTCAATAATAACATTTGATCTTTTAACAAATGCGCCATTGTCCGGAAAAACTTAGTAAGATAGAGCGTCGTCACGGTAATAAGCAGGGTGAGGCAAGTCGTACTTTATCGCATTGCCATATTGCTCATATAAAACGTCACATTTTCTAGCTGTTCAATATTTGTCTCAAAATCAATATCCTTTATTAATATAATGAGGTACAGGGTGTCGCGCGAACGAACTTAAATACTTCAGGAGGTTTTTGTACGTGTCAAATTGGACTAAAAAGTATCTATTGTCTTGATTGTATTCGAGATATTTCACCTTTCGTTATTTTGGCCTTTCTCAACTTTATTCCAAAAAGTCCCTCGTATCTCATAAAATATTAATCCTACTGTAACTTTGATTAAATAAATGGAAAAAGCATTAAAAACCGTATGAGATAAATTTTTATTTATTTTATCTTTAAAAAAACAAAGTACAAAATCAGAAGATTAACTTTTACGTGTACGTTGCAGTGATGAGCGCAGTGTCAACGCCTAAACCTCCAGCTTAAAATAATATTTTAAAAAAATATTTACAAAAAAGTTCCTTCATGTTCAACTCCTTCAACCCCTAAAGAGCAATTTTTGTAAATATTTTTTCTGAAAATTTTCGCCTACCAAAAATACCTCGAATTTAGCAGTAAACACGATTGATTACTTGATAACTTCGAAACGACTACACAAAAAAACTTTACTTCGGTTTACAACCCTATAATCTGCACGTAATGGCAAATACCTGGCTTCCGTAAATAAATCCCAACCGGAGATATAAAAGAAAACATTTTGGTAGGCTGAAAGAAGAGAAAATAGAATTCAGAGGAGTCATGAATTTTTAAGTTGAACACCGATCATCAGAGAAAAAATACGAGAAAAGCTTATTCAGCCCAAAATTTCAATTTTTTATTTGCCATAAAAATTCGTATTTAAGGACTTTAAAGGGTGCTTAAAATAAATACGAATCGAAAGCAAATTTTTCGGTCTATTTTACTGAAAGCTTTGCGTTTTTGTAACTTTTCTTATACTAGGATAGCAATACAGTCCTATATTGTTTTCTTATACTAGGTTAGCAAACGGGGTTGACTGATATTACACCTTCAAATACATACATAACAAAGGCAAAAAAATTTAAAAATAGAAACTACATAAATTACTTAAAATATTTTCTTGTCGGGGCCCATTGGCAAGAAAGCGAAAAGATAAGAGTACAAATATATCAAATAAAATCTTACGGAAAGGCGGGAATGTATTTAGATCTTTTTTCAAACACCCAACTACACATCTATTTGGAACTATATCAATAATTAATAAATTGTCTCATTGAAGCAATCAAATTCAAAATTGGACCACTAACTCCACAATTCAAATTGTTGTACTAATTTAAAACCGAGAAACTTAATTCATCATTAATCATTTGTAAGTCGAAATTCGAGAGGTTATGTAAGTAAAACTATTTTGTAAATAATCGCCAATTCAACAATAGCACGGTCTAATCGGGGTGTAAATATGCTATTTCGTCAAATCGTTGAAAATTAGGCTTATTAAGATACCAAATAATGAATTTTTCCATATTTGTAAAACTAAAGTACAATCGTTTTTGCACGAAATTAAACTGGTCCCGTGAGATTTTGAGCTTTACAAGTGCTTTAGATAATTTTTGAAACGAATGATGAACTTGCAAATCGACATCCGCTGTTTGAAAAGTCTCGTCTTTTACGAATATTCTATGTTAAAAAATCTACTTTCCCTGCTAAAACATCATCTCCCTATTGGAAGAGGAATCGATGTATTCGGGTTTTATGGAGTAAATTGGTCGGCAATGAGAAAAAATCTACCCCAATCAGAAAAATTATATTTTTTCACTTTCGATACACATTCTTCCAAAACTCATCTACATATTGAAACGAATTTTTTTTTCATTTTGTAGATCAATCTTTGGCAAACAATCGTAGAGAGCAATGTTTCTGAAAAGCCACCCAGGAGCAGAGAAATATTTTTTTTATTTTAAGAAAAGGTGTCAAATTTGGTCACAATTTTCGATTATGCCAAAAATGAATGAATATCTATTTTGTTAAACCCCTAGCTACGAATTCAATAAAACAAAGAGAAATAGTTCGAAATAGACCAAATAGCTTTCGAGAAAACTGTACCGAAAATTGCATCCTTTTTGATCTACCTTTGAACAACAAAATGCCCTTGAATAATTGCTGAAATATGGTTACAGTATTACAGTTTGATGTTTAAACAAAATAACTAAATCTATAGAAAAAGAAATACAAATCTGCATTAAAATACCTCGAGTAGAAGTTGGTATAGAAAAAGAAAAGACAACAAAAACCAGCTCGTAGATCGTGGGTTCGATTCTCACCGTCGCCCTGGAATTTTTTGAACGCCATCTCTAACAGGCAAAGAAGTAAGGCTATTAAAAAAATATACAAAAATATTAATAATAATAAAAACCAGCTGTTCATTCGAAATACTATCGCTACCCTCGTTGCAGTTGTTCATAAAATAACCAGAAAAGGAGAAACAAATAGTAAGGATCAAAAAGGTGGTCAAGTCAAAATTCAGTTACCGAATTATTTCAAACAAGTCGTTTAAAAAAAAATCTGTACACTCTGCCAATTCTATCACAATATTTGCTCGAAAACTTATGAATTCCTGGGCTATCAGCAGATTTTAAACTTCGGACGCGCGTTAGTCGAAATATAAGCGGATTTTACACGATACACAAATTGCGTGAAACGTTCGTAATCGTACATAAAAATGTAATGTTTGTCCTGGAATATGTTGTGGGAGAGGTTTTTAACTCCATTGTCCCTCTGTTCACGCTGTTTCTACCAACCCGTCATAATCGTTGAATAATTGGTAATTTCATCACCTGCAACTTAGAATCGAAAAAGCCCATTGTCTTGTAATTTTTTGTTCAACTTGTGAAATTAGAAATTGCGTGTGAACAGCTTATGTGTTCCTCGGGTCCGCCTCTTCCTGCTCTGTCTATGAAGTGACATTTTGTGAACAGACATCTATCAAACAACTTATTCTGTCAAAATTTTCAAATAAAACTCATGAATTTCTTCTTATATAGTCTCACAATTTTGATAAATATTTCATCTTCATATGGACAAACTATCACTATATTTCGTCCTAAACAGATTTTCAGTTATATTCTAATTTAAGGTTGATTCTAAATGCAAAATTTACCCTTTTTTCCCTTTTATTTTATGAAACAGAAGTCAATTTTATTGAATTTAGAACCATTCGAGATCGCTTTATTCACCTTTGATGTTAAGACGAATGGTTTATCTTAGATTTTTCATTTATTGATGCCTTGTGCTTAACTTAATAAGTAATTTAAATTTAAAAATATTAGTCGAACATCGTTACTCCTTGTTTTGTACTTGCTTGCTTCTATTCACTCGGACAAGAATTTACGCCATCATCAATGTGTTCGTATCAACCAACCCTGGC